ATTAGGAAAAAATGGCAAATTCCTTACCTGGAAGGAACAGTACATAGACTAAGACTAACTTCTGGGGATCAAAACACATGTCTGTCACTCAAGGAGAGTACCTCAAAGATTATCCATCCAGTGGCAAATGATGGCAAGATGATTTAAAAAAACCCCTCCATTATGTTAACCACTGTAAATGTTAATTAATCACTGCCCATGCTTCACCTCTTAAGTACTTTCTCCTCAGTTTGAGAAACATAAAAGGTATTATTCTTCTGCTCCATCCTTTAAATAATAGCATTTCATCCCTATTTCCTAAAGTCTTTCCAAACTGGACCATTGGGGAATGCACTCTGAGAACTCTACCAGTAAACTTGGCCCTGAATTCTGTGAACTCAGAACTGTCCCATCCTTGGGTCACCCAAAGTCAACTCATTTTCTTGATTGCTTCCATGAACAGTTGAATGAGATGAAAAACATCCGAGTAGAGGCCTCAGAGATAACTAGTCTTGGTCTCTATTCCCTTAGGGATGCCTCCTCAACTGTTATTCTATAACTATTCATGCCTCAGTTATAAACTGGCATTTGGACTCCGTGTTTTTTTATACCATGAAGATAGGAACTGGCCTTTCTGTTGCAGAATGTGGACTTCACATTGAGTAGCAGAGAAAGAGAGCCATTTGATGGACAGAGGGAGTTCAGTCAGGATAGACCTGGTTCCAGTCACCGCAGCCTTTCAGTTTGCCAGTTAGGTGCTCCTTGGCTTAATGTCTGAGGGCTCCATAAAACCCCAAACACGCAGTGCAGTGTGGCCATTTACAGTTCTATTCTAGCAGGCACATCTTGGACAAGTAGGGGCCTGCGCTGGAGCCCTCTTGGGGAGCTGTCCCTTTTCCACTGTGTTGCACTGTGTTCTGTTGGCAAGTGACAACGGCTTCACTACCTGCTTACCGGGTAAAGTTTACTGGGCATCCACTGAACGTGGTCATTAGAGCAGAGCCCAGAGCGTCCATCTGAGCAGAATCTAGGACTTGAGAGTTTTGCCTTGCAATTTATTATATCTGTCCACCGCCAGCCCACAGTTTGGGGTGATAGACTAAAAGAAACGCTCTTCAAACCCTGACCTGGAGCCTAGATCGTCATTACTTCGCTTTCAGGATTTGACACCAGACCTGTTCCCCACAGCCAATTTATACCCCTTATCTGATCATCCAGTCCAGACAGAAGGTTGAATTGACCGCGTTTGCCGCGTCCATGACAATGGTGTTTAAAACCAAGCACAGATCAAAGCTTTCCTGGAGGTGATAGTGGGGCTCGGAGGGTGGTTATAGGGTCCTGGCTCTTGAGGGCAGTGAGTTAGTGTGTCCGGGAGGTGAGAACGTTAGGGCTAGCAGTTTTTTTGGGGGGTGTATGGGGGGAATCCACCAGCAGTTTCAATGATTTCCAGAGCAAAACCCAGTCCCCCGCGGCCCACTACTAACTCTAGCAAAAGGGTGTTGCGTGGCCGTGCGCAGACGCGCAAAGGCTAGCGCCAGGGGGCTCTCCACTCGGTTTGAAACCGAAAGGAAGGGAGGGGAGGGAGCCCAGCGGGGAGCACAAGTCAATAAACCCAGCGTCCATCCCCTCCCGTTCCAGAAGAAATGCAACTGCGATACGGATGGGCCGGACCCCCTAAGCTTGGTCTGGAAAGCTGATTCCCACCCCGCTGAGGATTGCCAGAGGGGCGACGACCCTCTCCCCCCGCCCATCTCCGGACGTTCAGCTCCGCCGGTCCCCCCACCCCCATCAGCGGCCGGGCGCCGGGGTCCTGGTGGGAACCGCTTTGGCGCAGTCTGCCCGAGGCGAAGACTGGGGGCACCGTTTTATCTCCGCTCGCCTCGTTTCTGTTAACTTGTGTTGATATTAAAAAGAAATCAATCAGTGAAAATGAAGCCTTGGCCGTGAATATTTTTCTCACGTGGAAAAGCAAAGAGCGAGGCGGCGGGGGAGGGGAGGCGGGAACTCGGCGGCGACCGCAGAGGCTTCTCCCGGGCAGAGGACAGCAGCCGCGAGTTAACTTTCCCGCAGTGGGCAGCGCCGAGGAAGTGCCGCAAGCCTCTCTCGGGGGGTACCCTGAGTCCCGAGGAGGAGGGGGAGGAAACGGCGTGGGAGGCGGCCACCTTCGCCGAGGCTTCAGCCTCGGTTTTGCTTTCGCTGGGAATATTTTTGCCTAATAGAATGTTTATGGATCGCTCGGCTCTGTTTCTGCTGCCTAGCCCAAACAAATCGATGTGGCTTTAGAGACGGGGCTGGGGGTGAGGCGAAGGGTGGGGAAAGTCGGGGCTGTCCGCACGTCCCCACCACGTGGATACCGCGCGCCGCGTGCTCTTCACCTGTTACGGCGCACTGGCGGGCGTTCGCAGCCCCGCGCTCCAAGAGGCGGTGCAAGTTGCGCGCATTCCCGCGCCTCAAGCTGGCTTCTTCCCGCCACTCTTCGCCCTCCTCTCGGAAATCCCACCCTGGCTTCTCGCCACCCAGCTTGGCCTGCGCCTGGGTCCCCGGCCTCGCTAGCCCCAGGTCCCGCAAAGCTGGCTCTCCAGGCGCGGCAGAGGGCATTTGGCGCAGTGCGGGGCTGGGGCGCATCTGGCCGGGCGAGAAGCCCCGAGTGCCCAGGCCTGGGGGGATGGTGAGCAGGCGGCGACCCTGCTACCTGAGGAGGCAGCGTGCCGGGGAGAGGCGAACCGGGTGCGCAGCGCCCACGCGGCCTCCCAGCCGCCTGCCAACCGCCGGGACCGCGCGTCGCGGTTTCAGGGTATTTCCTCAATTGCTCTCCCGAGCGCACCTTCCACCCTCCCTTTCGCCTGACTCTCATTCTCGGAATCGGTTCCCGCCGGGGGTGGCGGCAGCTGGACCGGGCCCCACTCCCGGCTGGCGCGCACCGGGTGAGTCAGAGGTCCCGATCGCCTCGGCCTTTGCCAACCGCTGCCAGCTCCCCGGGTGCCAGTTGGCTGCTCCGATTGAAACCCCGAGAGACCCGCAGCTTGCGATAGCTTTTTGGGGTGGAGGGGAGAATATTCAGCCCGGCTGGGTCCCAACCCTACGGGCCTTGGCTGCCCGCAGTCTCGTGGTGGGTGACTGGTGGGTGACTTGCCCCGCGCCTCTGGAAGTGACGCAGCGCGGTCCGGGGTTGGGAATGGGAGGGGGTTCTGCGGAGAGCGTGGGAGGCAGGTGGCAGAGCGGGAGTGGGTTCGAGCACGTACACACACACCACGCAGCGCTCGGGGACAGATGTGCGAACATCTGGGTTGGAGATAGACCCCTGAGTCTTCACGACCCCTCCCGCTCTCCACAGCACACGAAACCTGAAGTTGTGTGTGTGTGTGTGTGTGTGTGTGCCATTGTGCGCGCTCTCGTGAGCCCAGGCCTGCCAGAGTCCGATCCTGAATGCATAATGTACCCTGGGCACCCTCACTGCACGAGTGTATACACACACACACACACACACACAGAGCAAATCACACACATACATAATTTATGCAGCATCTAGGTCTGTGGGAGGTAATTTAATTTCGGTTCATGCTGGGAATTTAGAATTAAGGCAAGAGGGAGTGGGAGGCACTGGGAATCTCCCCAAGTGGGCCACGGTAGTACCCATACCTTTGATTTGGTTTGCAGCTGCCCTGAAGACATTATGGCCGAGAAGGAGCAGCAAACGGGGGAGTTAGGTGGCTAGCACATTCCAGAATCTTCCTCTTTCTAAAATGCACAGCCAAGCTTAAAGTGGGGGTATGTGCGTGTGTTGGGGAGTGAGAACTGGAGTACCAGGAGTAGAGCTCCCCTTGAGTTAACCATGCTCCCACAGGACCCACCAGAAGGTATGTGTGAGGATGCCCAGGCTGCGGCCCAGGCAATGCATGGAGTGAGCCCTGCAGCGGAGGCCATTGGCTTCCAAGTGTGCTGTGGAAGGGCATTTCAGGAAGGTTTCCTCCTCTGTTTTCCCTATTTCCTCTGCAGCTGGTTTTTGCATCCCTGATCACCTGTAGCAGCCGCTAAGAGTTTTGTCAAATTCCAAACACTGTTCTCAGAGCAGAGAGAGCCTCACCCTGGAGTGTGGTCCCAGGAAGGAAGGAAGGACAAGCCCCACTGGATCCCTTAAAGCCAGAAATCCCACCTCAGGGAGTGTGTTCCTTGCCGCTCCCCATAAATGCTGGCCCTAGATTGTTTTGGGCCTTGGTGCTTATCTCCCACACACCCTTTTTGGCAGTGCTTGAGAACAAATTCCACTCAAAAGTTTCTAACCACTTCACAAGAGTGAGAGACCTTAGAAGGCCAAGCAGTTTGCTTTAATAATAATTTTTAAAGAACACATGATTTACTTTCCCACAAAACACATGGATGCGGGAAAGAGAGCAGGGATCACTAACTGCCTTGGTTACCAGAATCGCCCAGGCTCAAGCCCCTGTATCAGCTGTAAACCAACTTGCTCCATTAGCCGAACCCTATGATATTCTGTGTCTAATACACCCATTCTACACAGAATCTACAGCACTGAAAACCCAAACTAGTCTCTCTTCTTTTCCAAGCCCTTCAGTTAACATTGCTCAATGTAGCTAAGTGGAGGGAATGCAAATGATTTATTTTTCGCTGGCTAGGTTGAAGAAACTCAAGGGAGATGTGTTCAGCTTCAAGACGGGGGAAAATATCCACAAAAACTGTAATGCAAAGGCTTTGTAGTATTTTTAAACCTTTGATTCAGTCCATATGTGACATCTGAACACCGCCAAATTCTATGTTTCAAAACACACACGCGCACACGTACACACACACACACACACACACTCCTAGCAGGAGGGAAAAGTTGGGTTTTGACTGTCTTGGTGGTGCAGGGAAGGCTGGCGGGGATCTCTCTTTAAATTATTGAGTATTGAGGGAGCCTGCTTCTGTGCTGTGTCGCGTCGCCCCCTGCATTAGCAGCCGCTTTTAAAGGAAAAGCATGTTGAAATGAATAGGGGGGAAAAAAAAAACTTTCAGGGGCTTACCTGGTTGGCCTCTCACTTCGTGTCGTGAAAAGTAGAACGCTAAGAAAACCCAGGTGAGAGGAAACATATCCATTTTGGAGAAGGAAGATTTCTCCAGAGCTGGATTTGTAGGTTTCCTGTATAATTAAAAGTCTTTGTGGTTTTTTTTCCCCCCTTCTCTTATTTTCTTCCTTACAATGTCTTCTGCAAAGGTTTCTAAGGATCAATGTTTCCCTCCAGGGTCCTGACGGCCCGTCTTCACCTTTATTCTTGCTGGAATCCCCACCTCGCCAGGAGGAGGGTAGCTCCTGAAATCACCAAAGAAGGAGCAAGCCGGGAGAGGGCACAGCTTTCCTCTCTTAAGAACAAAACGCATCTATGTTCTCTTCAGTTCCTCAAAGTATCATTTCCTTTTTCCTACAACATCACGAATATTTCCCAAAAGCCAAGCGTTAAAATAATCAAAAAGAAAAGCCAAGACTTGCTGTGGGCATCCCACGGCTCCCAGGCAGCTGTGTGATCTCAGTGGCGTAAAGTGACACACATCTCCCGGCACCCAGGACAGACACGCGGGCGGAGGGACCGACCGACGGCCCGAGTGGGAGGCGGCTGCTCTTGCCCTCGCCGGGTTCCCCTAGCGGGATCCTTCCCCGCTGGCTACACCCGCTTGGTCAGCCTCACGAGGGGAGCCCGAGGAAGGAAGCTGCTGCTGGCGGCCGCTGCTGGTGGTGGCGCTGCGGCGGCGGCTGGGATCGCCGGGAGTGAGCGAGCCCTCTCTGAGTTCGCCGGCGCCCGCCCTCACCTCCACCTCGCCCAGAGCCTCGCCGAGTGTCTGCGCGGCCGAGGACGTGCTAGGGGCGGGCTGCGGGCTGCTGCCTCGCTCGCCTTCTCTGCTTCCCCTCGGGCTCCCCCCTGCCTTTTCAGGCCGAGCAGCATGTGGATGTCAGAGCCGCGGCAGAGCTATCCGATTACGCGCCGGCTCAGGGCCCGCCCCTTCTGTGTTCCTGATTAAAGAGGCAGCCGCGGAGACGCGCCGCGCAGAACTGAGCGCCGCGGCACCCAGCTCGGGCGGGGCGGCGGCTTCCCCGGCCGCTTCTGGATCAAAGTTAGGGCCGCTCCCACCCAGACGCCCCACTACCAGCCCGTAGCCCCCGCCCGCCCCGCGCACCTCTGCGCCGGGCCGCGCCGCCCGTGCGTAACGCCCTGGGGAAGGAGCGCCCCGGGCACCTACCCCAAGGCACGTAGTCCTTGGCCACATCGCCCTCGCCCGAGGGGCCCTGGGGGAAAACGAGACAAGTCTTGGTTACCCCCTAAGTTCTATGACTCTGATGCCACCCACGCGGAGCCCAACACAATGCCACACGCAATGGCGTTACAAGAGACGCAGAGTGGCGTGAGGTGTTTGGGGTAGGAGCAAGGCGGCAGCTCAGCCATGCGTTCGTACAGCCGGCAGTGCGTGGCGGCGACACACGCCGTCAGCCCTGGTTGAATAAAACCCCAAAGGCTCCCTGCGTTTACTACTCAGATCCTTTGTTGTGCCCCAAACAGGATCCTCTTCTCTCCGGCTGTAGATATCCCTGCGCCCCTAACTTGTAGCTATTAGAAAAGAGCAAAGACTTTTTCCAAGAATTTTTTTCTGGCGATTAAATTTGATCCCCCACTCACTCCAAAGTATAGGTACACGAAAGCATCTCCTCGAAATGCTACCGTCACTACTTCTATTCACATTTTCCCCATGGAAATATGGTTACAACGCGAGAGAAAAGAAAACAGCATTATGCCAACTATTTTTAAATGGAGGCGTGAAAACTGTTTAGAGGGAGCTGCAGGCTAACAGTTGGGAAAACACTTGTATCTTTGTTTCTGTGGCCCAACAGTCTTGCTTCACGAGGCACCTATTACTGCATCATCATAAAGACTCTAAAAAGAATAGTCTAAATAATATCCTGCATATACCATTTCTGCCACTCTGCAGATTAAGAAAAATAAAGTTTCAGTGACAAGAAACATACACATATCTGACTCTCTCCTTTTCTTCTTTGCTTGTACTTGTGGCTTCTTCCGGGTGGTTCTTTCCTTATCTGGACTTGCCATTAGCTTTGTTTATCACTTTTAGTGTTTGAAAAATCTGTAACTCCCACTTAACTGTTATTTACACTGAGATAACCAAAACAAAATTGAATCAGAAGTGATTTGCAAATAGTTGAGCCAAGCCATAGAGGGATTTTAAAGTGCCATGCAAATCCACAGGGCTGCATATCACACAGTTAATCTTGGATGCCTGGTTTGAAAGGGCATGCGGCAGAGGCCTGGGGAGCTCTTCCAGGGCGCTTATCCTCCGGCTGGTCTAAAGGCTACATTTCATTTTCTCTCTTTCTCCCTCCCTTCCTGCCTCGCCCCCCCCCCCCCGCCTTTTTTTAAAGACTTGAGAGCACATCCACATGATAAAAAACTCCACATGTACATTTTTCCTGTTTAAAGTTCAATTGTGAAGAAACTGCTCCCAGCCCCCAATATATAATGAAGAGGTGGTCTGGATTATGAATCTCACACAGAGACCTCGGTTTATGTCACTGCCAGGATGCTAATGTAAGGACAGATAACAGATCTGCAGGGACAGTCCCTGGAAGAAAACGGCCATTTAGTGTCACCTTCCCCCACTACCAGGAGTCCAAACCATTCTAGCAAGTGTCCAATGTGCGGCAGTCCTGTTTCTGAGAACACTCTAGCAGGAGTTTAGGTGAAGAGCACTGGGGAGAGAGAGGAGAAGGGAAAAAAGGTCATTAGGGAACCCTAAAAACAACAATTCTGGATTTCTGTTCTTGGGGTCTCAGGGTTGAGGGGGTCGCCTTTAGGATCCTTCCATGTCCTTGGTCTGGTAGGGAGAAGGGTTCATCTCACTTTTCTGTTCCTGGACCTGATTTCCAGCATTACAGATTTGCAATTTTCAGAGATGTCCTAGAAGAGAAGCTAGCTTACTTTCTGTCTGTCTTCTGTGTCGTGAGGCAAACTCAGCAGCCCAGTTCAGGGAGACCCTGACCTGCTGCAGTAGGGTAGGGGTTGAGTTCTTAGTTCAGAGTTTCCAGGTCTCCCGGCAGCTCAGTGCCTGACCATTTTTAATCCTCTAGGGGGCAGCACTCAATAAATAATGGTAGCACCACCTAGGGTAACACTTCTGGTGGTGGTTTCACTTCTAGGAGCTCAAAGTGAAAATTCAGAGTGAGACCAGATCTCTCCCAAGTCACTCTGAACAAGACCTCACAGGCCTAGGAAAGTTTAGAATTGCTCTAACCCAGGACTTCCAAGAACTTTTGGGAACTAAACACAAATCCCTCATGTGTCCTATGGAAAATGAACCTTCAGGGAAATTCTCCAGATTGAGGGCTGGTTTGGATCTGCCAGCCAGGCTTTTGTCTAGACTGGAATCTCAGGAGTTTGGCTGTAATTCATTCCATTTCAACCAGAGGTGCAGTGGTGCGGAGCTGGGCAACTGTACCTTCCAGTATTTTGTGAGCTCATATCCATAACCACTAGGGAAGTCCCACTAGTAAAAGGTCAGTGGCATGGTCAAAAACAATGGGCTACTGAGCAGAAACATTGAAGTGAATATAAAACCGCAAACAAGTGGGGGTGAGATTCCTGGCTGCATCATTACTCACCTACGATGTTTTACATCACTATCCTTAATTGTGCAATAATAATAGATAATCCCATCCTGCATTCCATTCCTTTGACAGGAAGGGATGTGGGGAACATAAAAAACAGATCCATAAATGATGCTACCTTCAGAAAGCTGTTACCTTGCCACACCCCAGTGGTAACCTTTCCCAGGCGGAAAGTTGGGCGTTCCCAGGTAGAGACTTGCAAATCACAATCTCCTAGCGAAAGTGTTAAAAATTCAGATCCTTGGGCTCCACATTCCTGCAGATTGAATTCCTTAAGTCTGGGATGGTGTCTGTGAATCTGTATTTTAAACACACATTTTAGGTGATTCTGATGCAAATACTTAACAGGCCAGTAGGTGGGAACTTCTGTTCTGATGTGTTATATTAAAACACAACCTGTGATATAGGTGCATCTGTTGAATCTGCTGCAAAATACCTCTTTAAAGTGTTAAAGAGCAAAGATGTCACTTTGAAAACTAAAGTACACCCGATCCAAGCCATGGTATTTTCAGTCACCTCATATGCATGCGAAAGCTGGACAATGAGTAAGGAGGACTGAAGAAGAATTGATGCATTTGAATTATGGTGTTGGTGAAGAATACGGAATATACTATGGACTGCCAGAAAAAAGAACAAGTTTGTCATGGAGGAAGTACAGTTGGAATGCTTCTTAGAAGCGAGGCTGATAAGACTTCATCTCACGTTCTTTAGACATGTTGTCAGGAGAGACCAATCACTGGAGAAGAACATCATGCTTGGTACAAGGTCAGCGAGAAAGAGGAGGACCCTCCATGAGATGGATTGACACAGTGGCTGCAAAAATGGGTTCAAAGGGCATGGATTGTGAGGCTGGCACAGGACTGGGCAATATTTCATTCTGTTGCACATAGGGTCGCTATAAGTCAGAACCAACTCAATGGCACCCAACAACGAAACATCTGTTGAAGGACACCTGGAAAGTGTGTCCTTCACCTTTCTTCTCCAGGCGCTTTTCAGGTAGGGGCACATGTTTCAAGAACATGTCCTGTAAAGTGCCATAGTGGTGAGATGCCCAGATTCACCTGTGACAACAGCTTCAAGAAACCTCACTTTTCTGGGGTCATGTATGTGTGTTCCAAGGCAGTGTGTGTTGCAGGGACATGTTCTAAGCACTATGATGGAGTTTATAGAACTGGATCCAGCCCTTTCACCATCAACCCACTCAACCATTGGCTATCACTAGAGGTTTATTTCAGGTATGGTTTTCCATCTGTGTTCATCACATTGTACTTATTAAATGCTCAAGGATGCATGACTATGCAGGACGTGTGCAAGCAAGTAAGACTTTGGGTCTCGCCTCCTGGGAACACATGATCTGAAAACTCTGGAAGTTTCCTGCTTCCACAAAGGCTCAATAGATGCCACCTGTCACATGATGTGTCTTCTTATCTGAGCCCTAACATTGACAAGCTCTCACCCTGAAAGGGTGATATATGAGGCATAATTGCATTTTAATCTGTAATTTACCACACTGCCCTAGTTGATGTTTAGCTGCATCTGTCTCAGAGGCAGAGCTTCAGTTAAAATGTAATAGGTCCTCATTGTTTATTCTTTCTTTTGTTTGTAGCTGAAGTCCAAGTTTCTGGTCAATAGGATTGGCCCTCCCTTCCTCTCCCTCAACTCTTTAAATAATCAACATTTTCTTTCTTTCTTTTTTTAAAACACACTTGAATACTATCTAAACTCTGTTGCTCTTGAGTTGAATCCAACTCACAGTGACCCTATTGGACAGAGTAGGGCTGCCCAGTAGGGTTTCCAAAGCAGTAATCTTTACAGAAGCGACTACCAAATCTTTCTGCCGCAGAGCAGCTGGTGGGTTGCAATAATTTGATTATTGCAATTTGATTAATAGCCAGGTGCTTAACCACTGTGCCACCAGGGCTCCTCATATGCTGCCTAAAAACCAATAAACCAAACTCACTGCCATCGAGTTGATTCCGATTTATAGTGACCCCATTGGGTTTCCGAGAAGTAAATCTTTATGAAAGTAGATTGCCCCATCTTCCTTCTGCGGAGTGGCTGGTGGGTTTGAACTGCCAACCTCCTTGTGGGCAGCACTGTGCCACCAGACCTTCTTGATACATTGCCTACCCATCCACTGCCGTCGAGTCGGATCTGACTCGTAGTGATCCCTCCTTGGGTTTCTGTGGCAGTATCACTACGGAAGTAGATTGCCCAACCTTCCTTTC